AATATTTAAATTATAATTTTAAATAAAATAAATTTAATATAAATAATATTTTTTAAGTAAAGTGGTGGGACCCAATATGGATTCTTTAGAGTTGCACCATTGGAGTGAAAATTGAATGAGTTGCTTTAAAAGAGTGGGTCCCACAAAGAACCTAAAAATGGGTTGCACCATTGGAGATGTGGCATTTAATGATGTGGCACGTAGAAAGAAGATGTGGCATTTCCATGTCAATTCCACATTTCCTATTCACCAAATATCATTTTCACGTCATTTATTTTTTGATTTCATTTTCAGGAAATTAATATCAATCTTATCCCTAACATGTACTTCCAAACTCATTTCTTCAAAGTTTTTTCATACTCTTCTTCACAAACCCAATGTGTCTCCTACTTACCAACATGTCTGAAACGAACACTACGCCAGAAATCACTTTTAGCAGCGCATAGAAAGACAGCGCTTTTTACAAAAGCGCTGCTAAAGGGCCATAAAAAAAAAGAAAAAAAGCGCCTACCTAAGACAGCGCTTTTAAAAAAGCGCTGCTAAATGGTGGGTCTAAGAAAGCGCTTTTAAAAAGCGCTGCTAAAGGGGGGCCCTAAGAAAGCGCTTTTTAAAAGCGCTGCTAAAGGGGGACCCTTAGAAAGCGCTTTTTATATAAAGCGCTGCTATATGGAATTGATAAGGCACCCTATGAAAGCGCTTTTAAAAGCGCTGCTAAAGGCCTTTAAAAGCGCTGCTAAAGGTATTCATATTATAATTTTAAAATACCCTCCAGAATTTTAATAGAATCAGAACAGTCATGCTAACTATTTCTTCTTTCTCTGGCGAACGAAAACACGAACCAACCACCCACTGTTCATCGTCCGACCATCGCCTTCTTCCGTCCGATCACACTACAAGAAAATTAGAGTTTTACGACACAAAAATTGCGACAGTTACTTGATAACGGTCGTAACTCTAATATAGAGACGCGTTTCACGACAGTATACACCTACCGTCCTTATATTTTTAAAAGATTATTAAATATTACGACTGTTATCAGTAAGCCGTCCTACAAATAAGTTCATGACTGTCTCAAGTGCCACCCTAAATTTTATGTCCCGACGGTAGAACAACTGTCGTCCCTTAAACCCAGTAACACAAACTATAACCAATGGCGGATCTAAATAAGTCTATGTATTTTAAATAAATAAATGACTAAAATTATTTATAAAATATAATTATAGTAATAAATTAAACTTAAAATACATAAAAATGATAATATTATATATACTCAAAATAAAACTTTAATTTTAAAAACAATTTTTATAGTAAAAATTAAATTCAAAATATTATATCCAAAATTAAAGTATTAAAATTAAATTATATATCAAAATTTTAAAAACAATTTTTATAATAAAAAGTAAATATAAAATTAAACTATATATACTCATAATCATAATATTATAAAATATAAATAAATAAAATAATTCAATTAAAATAGAGAAATAAAAAAATTTATTAAAATAAAATTGTATTATGACTGGAAGCTACAGTCGTTATCGTTAGTTCAAAATTGTCAAAATTTCATCTGTGACGGTGATATCCAACCGTCGTGCTCCAAAATTTCATCTTCCCGCAAAAAATGAGAATTATTTCCACAGATTTTTCACTTCTTTTTAAGAATTTGCCGCTCACGTCCTTGCAGATTTTAACAACCACTCATCCATCTTCTGATAGATCATGGAAATTTTCTATTTCTATTTTATGAATCAACCTCTTTTTCTCTCTCTCGTTTTCCTCGATTCAGTTGTTATTGTTGTTGTAGAATTTCGAATTTTTAGGTTTCCATCATGGACTCCGCGATCCCCAAATTTCAATTTAGGATAATCGATTTTCTTTTTCGTTATTATTTTCGTTATTGTAATACTCGTAATACTCAAACAACCTATTAAATCTCCACCGTTCAATTACAATCACAACCTTAAAACAAAAATATCCAACACTTTCAACTGACTCAAAACACGACACTTCCATAGTACAACATTCACGTGATCACTCTCACAGAATCATAACCATGTGACAAACACTGCCATGTTCCCAAATCACGAGCTCTCTTCCTGATCTTACGTACAACTCACCATTTCAATCTCACTTCTCTCAAGGCAAAAGGGTTTCACTTGCTTCCTTTTAACTGAAGATCCATTCAAAAAGTTTCAAACTTTGTTCTTTCCCACTACTAGAATCAGCCTTTTTGTTACATGGAAGGTGTTAAAGTGATTACTTGGCTTGTTTTCTTGATTTTTCTATGGAGTTTGGTGTCATTCGTTGTTGAGGGTACTGAAAGTCTTATCTCTCCAAAAGGTGTCAACTATGAAGGTTTTTTCATTCACATTTTCTCAAAGTTTATTCCTTTTTATAGGTGAGAGATTGTTTGAACTAAATTGGTTTCAGTTGTATACATGTTTGTTTAGTGGCTTCTTTGATGTCTATGAAGAGTAAGATGAATGATGGGTTGCATGTTATGGATGGTTGGGATATTAATTCGGTTGACCCTTGTACTTGGAACATGGTTGCTTGTTCTTCTGAGGGTTATTTCATTTCCTTGTAAGTGTTTTTCTGGTTTATATCACTTAGTTTGTGTTTGGTTATGGGTTCACAAGAAATTGATTTTGAATTAATTGATTATGTAAAAGTGAGTTCAATAGACTAAAGTTCAATTCTAGAGGCAAAATTCCATTTTCTAGCTTCAATTGTAAAGTGTCACGAGAAAGTGTCTTTCAACAATCAACTTGCTTTCATAGCATTCGCTTTTTGACACTTTTGGTTTTCTAGCACCGGTGAATCTGTTACTGAGAGTACAAAGGCTCAGGCTATGAGTGTTTTGTCTTTATGGCCAATGGATGTAATTTTTAAGAGAATTGGTTTTGCCATCTAAAAAGGAGTAGTGATGCATCTTATTGCCTGTTTGCCTGTTATTTCTGTATAATCTTGATTATTAAACATATATATTGTCAGGGAAATGGCCAGTGCAGGTTTATTTGGAGTAATTTCCTCAGGAATTGGAAATTTGAGCCATCTTCGAACATTGTGAGTTACTATTTGAATGTTCTGCACTTACTTTATTTACAGTTTTGTTAGGAAATATGGAAAGTTTTTCTTATAAGTGAGTTTTTCCATTGTATTATCTTAGGTTTTTGCAGAACAACTAGTTATCCGGTCCTATACCGGTCGAGATAGGAAACCTACCAGAGCTTCAGACTCTTGATCTTTCTGGCAACCTTCTTACTGGGAACATTCCTAGTTCTTTGGGCTCCTTGACTCATTTAGTTACTTGTGAGTGTGGCTTGACGAATAGATTTAGCGATGATGATTCTTTTGTTATATAACATAACTCATCATTAGCCTTTCTCTAACTGTTAACTTCCTAATTTGTTCATGCCAAGAATTTCAGGCGGCTCAGCAAAAATAGGCTATCTGGACAGATCCCTCAACCTGTTGCTAATCTCACAGGACTTTCCTTCTTGTATGTGCTCTGTCGCAGTTTTGTGCGCATTTATTTTCCTTTTAAATACTTATAATTTAGTTTAATAACCCTTCTACATGTTGTAGGGATTTGTCATTCAACAATCTCAGTGGTCCTACTCCCAAAATTTTAGCAAAAGGCTATAGGTAAGTTTTTCAATGGCATAAGATTCGACTCAAACTCTAGACTTCGAGTGTAAAACATTTTCGTATTCCATAGCTCACGAACTGAGCTAGCTACGTTATATCTTTGTAGTACTTCAGGAAATAACTTTCTCTGTACATCATCCTCACAACTTTGTATGTGCGGTTCAAAGCTGGTAAACGGTAATATACATTAATCTTGCATCTTTCAAAACCCTATTAAGTTAGTGAATTGAAATACAAATGAAAGATGGTTCACTTTCAGATACAAGATCTTCTCAAACAGTCAACAGTCATCGCCACACGTTGATTTCGGTCATTATTGGCATTAGTTGCACATTTGTAATTTCAGTGATGCTGCTCGTCTATTGGTTGCATTGGTACAAATCACGTATCCTCTATTCATCTTACGGTACTTCCAGAAACAAACTTCTTTGCTTTTTTATTCTCTTCAAAATGTGCACATATTCTGATATGTACTGATTGACATTTAAAGTGGAGCAAGATTGCGAATTCGGTATTGGTCATTTGAAGAGGTTCTCCTTCCGTGAACTGCAAGTTGCTACTGGAAATTTCACTTCGAAAAATATCGTAGGACAAGGTGGTTTTGGTGTTGTATACAAAGGATGCCTTGCAAACAAAATACTGGTGGCGGTAAAGAGGCTGAAAGATCCCAATTATACCGGAGAAGTGCAGTTTCAAACCGAAGTTGAGATGATTGGCTTGGCTGTACATCGTAATCTCTTGCGTCTTTATGGATTTTGTATGACACCAGATGAAAGGTTACTCGTTTATCCATTAATGCCGAACGGAAGTGTTTCTGATCGCTTGAGAGGTTTGTAATATTCCCTTTGCTACGATCTAGTGTACTGTCCCTAAAGTTTAATAGATTTTCTCGTTTCTCTTATTCCTAAGCAGAGAGTTTCCGTGGAAAGCCATGTTTGGATTGGAACAGGCGAACACGCATTGCTGTTGGAGCTGCACGCGGGCTTCTGTATTTGCACGAACAATGCAATCCAAAAATAATCCATAGAGATGTTAAGGCCGCAAACATTTTGTTAGATGAAAGTTTTGAAGCCGTGGTGGGAGATTTCGGTCTTGCTAAGCTCTTGGATCAAAGGGATTCACATGTAACTACTGCAGTACGCGGCACTGTAGGATACATTACGCCCGAGTATCTCTCAACTGGTCAGTCTTCTGAAAAAACAAATGTTTTTGGATTCGGTATATTACTTTTGGAGCTCATTACAGGACAAAAAGCACTCGACGCTAGTACTGTTGTCTGTTATGATTGATCTGCACTTTGTATGCTGCCCTGCTTTTGGATTTCAAGTTTTGTTCCATCATGTTAATGAATGTTATGGCATCGACGCTTAACGGTGATAATTTCAAGTTATGTAAAACTTGGTGATTTACCAATAGCCAATGAAGTAAAAGCAGGGTATGATTCAAGCAGGTTGAGTGAGTCCAGTGAAATGGCAAGTGACGGTGGTTCCAACAAGCATGCTGATAAAGGACCAAAGAAGAAAAAAGGGAAAGCCACTGGAAATGCATTAGCAAATCAACCTGAAAGTGGTGCTAATAACCAAGAGCATACTTCTACCAAATCTAAGAAAAGCCAGCGAAGGGGTAAGGATACATCTTCACAAACATCAGATTCAAAGCAAGGTTCTAGGAAAGAATCACTTAAAATGAAAGAGGATAATCTCATTAGTCCCTCAGAAGAATGGATCATGGAGAAGATTACAGCCTTGATTCCTGATTTTGAAGAACAAGGTATGCTAATTATGACTTTGGATATACTCTTTCTGCATTAGCATTTTATTGAATTTCTTAAATTATGTGCTACAAATTGATAGGTATTGATGATCCTGAAACGATTCTTAGGCCTTTGATGATCCTGAAACGATTCATAGGAAGGCATTGTTTAAAGACAATGCAGAAAGAATGAAACAATTGCTTGATAATTTGCAGAAAAAACTTGATGAGGTTTAACTACTCTGTAGTATCTTTTTGTACTTTCTTCATCCACTGTGTCCATGTTTGTAACTTTTCTTATCTTTTCTTAGAGGATACTTAGAGGATACTTCTGTAAGTCAAGTTAATTGAAATTTGAAGATGTTATTTTCATTGTTGAAACAAGAGTAAGTTAATGTATCTTTGATGCCCAGGTTGTTTTGCATAGGCATTTACTAAGGACAGTAGCAGCTCCTATGGTTGACATGCTTCTTCATGACTTGGTATTATATACAACAATTATTCTGTTGATATTTCTTGAGGTTTAATAAGATCTAAAAACACTATGGATTCATCCTTTTGCAGGATGAGCACAACAAATTAAAGAACGGAGTAGAAGTGCAGGAATCTCCAAATTCTGAGTCTATTTCGTTTAGTCCTGGAGATAGAGCTGCAATTGTAAGACTTGAGAGAAAAATATGAAATGATAATACTCTGCATAATGATGTCTATAATCAGAATCAGAATGAATACATTTTACAAGTTTAATCAAAGCAAACATAATTTCACATGATACTATCAATCTTAAGATGCAATGAATTCTATGATACAATGATGTTTAATTCTATTTTGAATGTGAACAATAGCTATATTAGGTTTTCAATATTGCATTACTTGGAAAGTTGTGCTTTTCTTTTCTGATGCTTTTAGTATATAGAATCTTAGATATTTGTAAACCATCTTCTTTTGTGGAACACATAAAATGACTTCAAATATTACATTTATTGTTATTTTCTTTTGTAGTCCAAGAGTTTTCCAGGAGCTCTTGCAAATAAGGCTCTTGCTGTTGTAGAAGCATTGGAAGGAAAGGTTAGCATTTTTATTTCTGAAACATTATGGTTAAGGCTTATTGTATAGGTTCACTCAATGATTTATCAGTTCACAATTGCAGCTGGTTGGCTGCAAATATCTTGTTATAGTTTGAAACTTATTTTTTCTGTTTGATTTTTGATGCTGCAACTAATATTTGAATATTCAATACAATAGAGGGTGGAAACATTCATGTCTTCATTTAGAGCTGTGACAGAAGAGAGGTATTAACGTGTCTTTTTTGTTAGTTGTACTTATGGCATTGCTTTTACCAAAGCTTCTGTCTTAACGTGAAACCTTTTGTGATTAATTTTTCCAGTGGGCTGCCTTTGGAAAAGCTTGACAAGAAACTAGAAAGAACACTTCTACATTCATATCGTAAGGTATGTCCTGAAACTGCAAGTTTGGTGAAAATTTAGAATGTTGCGTAGTTCTTGACCTGATTAAATATTATGTGTTGGATGTTTCTTTGTATACTTTGTGCAGTGTATTTTATACTCTTGAGCTTTACTTCTTTCCACCATCCTCCTCCCGGGTAAAAATAATTATTAATAATAATAATAAAAGTCTATGTATGTAGAAGTTGTAAAATACATCTACTGGTAGGCTTATAATAGCAATGTTTCTCATTTTAACTTTAGTAATTATGCTCATTTGTAACTGTATTTTTCTACCCTTCTTAAAGTCTTTTCACCTCTCACTTTCGGGTAAAACTAAATAGAACTCAGAGTAGTTATAAAATTCATCTAATCGTAGGCTTGTAATAACTATGCTTCATTACAATTTAGTTATTATACACTTGTTTGTTACTGTTTTTGACGTTTTTCCCTGATTTAGTTACAAATTGATGTCACCTGATGCTGCATATGAATATGTAAAGTCAATTCGGCCGAGAGTGCTTTTAGCTTCCTCTCAGTGGCAAGTAAGTCTGTAGCTTGTATTTCTTTTTATCACTAGTACTATTGAAGTTTTGTAGATTTTGCAGCTCTAATTTACATATCATGGTTTTGGGTAAGTTTGTAGCTGAAAATGAACAAAATTTATATTTATTATGAATGGGGAGTACTCTTTTTCTGAACGGGATCCCAAATTTTTATAACCCATCAATATTATTATTTTTTAATCCATTTTTTATCTCGATAATTTTTTTGTGTTGGCAAAACAATAAGGAGTTGTGATGGTTAATCTTCATTCATTTAATTTTTGAAATTTCAGGCTGTCCAGGACTACTATCGCCACCTTATTGTGAGAAGGGTTGTCGGATTTTCGCCTGCAGCTGATCTATTAGTAAAGGCTTCTGAGGTCGCAGCAGCTTCACAAGATCTTGTAAAATTTGATGACAATTCTTTATTCATTTTTGGCACAATGATACTTATTCATTTTTGCCACAATGATACTTATTTTATAAGATTATGATTTGATATGTTTTTGGATTTTTGTATTACATGACATGATTATGGAACTTTCATTTTACATTATTATGAAACTCACGTTTTTTTCGATATTATAATGTTTATTTGATATTAAGTTTTGGAATTAATTTTACTACGCTAAAAAGCGATAGAAAAAATTAAAAAAAAAACTATAAATAAAAATATTATTGTATAAATAATTTAAAGAAAAAATAATATAACTATTTTAGTAGATAATAATTTAAATAAAAGAATATATTATAAAACAATATATAAAAATTAATAATGAACCGTCAAGATATCACATTCACGACAATTTTAAACCGTCACAATCAACAATGGTAACAAAAATCAAAAGGATATTCACGACAGTATTTAACTGTTGTCATTTCCAATTTATGTTAGTTCCAACCAGTCGTGAAATAGAGTTCACGACAGTTTTAAACCGTCACAATCAACAATGAAAATAAAAATCAAAAGGCTAGTAACGACGGTCTTTAACCGTCGCTATCTCCAGTTTAGGTCAGTTCAAGCCCGTCGTAAAATATAACGACGGTTGTGTGTGACAGTTTTTTCAACCGTCGCTAAACAGCCTGGGGACACACGTTTCTGCGACGGTACTACAACCGTCGTAGAATGTAATTGGTGGTGGTTTTAACCGTCGTAACCTGCCAAAATAACCGTCGCAATCCATCATTTTTCTTGTAGTGTCATCCTTCCGACCATCACCGACCGTTCACCGTCCGTTTTTGAGTTCATCCATCCGTCTGCATTGCCGGTCCACCATTGTTACGGTACGTGAAGCTTGCTCTGCTTTTCTTGTTTTTTTTTTTTTATCTTTTCACCATTGTTGTTCTGATGATATAGATGGTTTTATATAGATGGTATTTGAACATAATAGATGGTTTTATATTGTTGTTGTTGTTGTTTTTATTGAAGGTTTTGTGTTATCTGAGTTATTGAAGGTTTAGTGTAAAATATGATATTGAAGGTTTTGTGTTATTTGTTGTTGCTGTTGTTGTTCTAATGGTTTTTGTTGTTGTTGTTGTGTTATTTGTTGTTGTATTAATATGATATATGAGATATATATGATATTGTTGTTGTTGTTGATGTAAAATATGAGATATTTGAGTTTTTTTTTGTTGTTGTTGTTGTGTTATTTGTTGTTGTTGTTGTTGTTGTTGTTCTGATTGTTTTTGTTGTTGTTGTTGATATATATATATATATATATATATATATATATATATATATATATATATATATATATATATATATATATATATATATATATATATATATATATATATATATATATATATATATATATATATATATATATATATATATATATATATATATATATATATATATATATATGATATTTGATATATGATATTTGATGTTTTTAGTGTTATTGAGATATATTTGATATTTGATATTTGATATAGTTTAATATTTGATATATGATATTTGTTGTTTGTTGTTGTTGTAAAATATGATATTTGTTGTTTGTTGTTGTTGTAAAATATGAGATATAGTTTATATTTGATATAGATCGTGGTTGTTGTTGTTTAATATGATATTTGTTGTTGTTGTTGATGTAAAATATGAGATATATATATATTTGATATATATTGTTGTTGTTGTTGTTTAATATGATATTTGATGTTGTTGTTGATGTAAAATATGAGATATATATATTTGATATATATTGTTGTTGTTGTTTAATATGATATTTGTTGTTGTTGTTGATGTAAAATATGAGATATATATATATATATTTGATATATATTGTTGTTGTTGTTGTTTAATATGATATTTGTTGTTGTTGTTGTTGATATGAAATATGAGATATAGTGTATATTTGATATAGATTGTTGTTGTTGTTGTTGTTTAATATGATATTTGTTGTTGTTGATTATAAATATGAGATATAGTTTATATTTGATATAGATGGTTTGTTGTTGTTGTTTAATATGACATTTGTTGTTATTGTTGTTGATATTTGTTGTTGTTGTTGTTGTTCTGAATTACAGGTATATTATGGCCAGCAACGAGGAAACATCACATGATGGAAAAGAAACACCCAAAGACGTTGAAGGCGAAATTAAAAGAGGCATAACGATAATGAAAAGAATCATCCGTGCGAGAGATAGAGGTGTAAAGTACGATGTCCATTGGAATGAAAGAGATCAGTTGGTTGAGCCTAATGGTGCGCTGCTGACAAGTTATATTGGAGCAGTTGTACGTTCGCAAGTTCCGATTACTTGCGATAACTGGAGAATTCCTGCATTAGAAGCGGCTAAGGATAAAATTTGGACCGAGATTCAAGAATGAGATTTGATCATTTTTAATTATGTTGACAGTTACATCTCTAAATTAATTATACTAACATGTTATATGTATGTGTATTTGTTTGCAGAGATCTTTTAATATTGAGGATTCTAGGAGAAAATATTGTATTCAGTTGGCCGGAAAACCCTTGAGGGGATTTAAAGCGTTTTTAACCAACAAATATCTTAAAGATTCTGATGGCAACTTTGTAGACTCGGAGCGTCCAGCGAAGTACGCTGATTTGATTTCGGATGCAGAATGGGAGACATTTGTTGCGAAGCGAAGAACCAAAGAATTTGAAGTAAGTACAACTTATCATGAACAATGTATAGTATATATACCTATTCCATAAACAAACTGATATGACTTAAACTTGTTT